TTTTAATAATTAATTGCTACAAATTTTGTTCAATGACTAAATTCAGTTGCAATTTGTTACAAATTTTATTTAATTACTAAATTTAGTGACTATTTGCTGCATATTAGTTTTAGTGGATAATTATTATACATTTGTTTCGGTGGCTAATTAAATATTTTCTAATTTTGATTATAATTTTTTTGGATATAATAATAATAATAATAAAAAAAGGTAAAAGGGTTCAACATGGTGTACTCTGATGCCTGCAATTGTTGGTAGTAATGACTTAGGATAATGGAAAAGATTAAGAAAAAATGGGACTATATTGAATCACTTTTGTTTATTTTATTTTATTGGTCAACAGCTATATTGCATTGTTTACATGGTAAACTGAGTTCGCGGATTGGAGCCTCTTTTTTGTTTGGTCAACGGATAAATTGAAAAGCCTTGGGTTTTGTTTGTGTATGAGAAAGAGACTTCGGCTCACATTTATTGAACAATAATAAGTTGTTCATAAAATGAACAAAAAGGTGAAAATGCATTGACTAGTCCACACTTTGGGCTTAACGTTGATGTTTTGCTTGCCGCTTACCTATCTTTAATAATAACAATAATAATAATTCCAGTAATAATAATAATATAGGTAAGTAATTAAATGATATTTATATTCTTTTTATAATTATTGGATGGTTTATAGTAATTTGAATTTAATGTATTACGTGGATAATAGGATAAATTGCAAACTAGGTGAGTCTAATATTAAATCTTGTCTTGAAACAAAATTGGGACCTAATTGAAAATTCAGGTGTTTGTGCTTTATTTAAACTTTGTTCAAGTATAGAAAATTTGATTTTAGGAGTTAAACTGAAGATTTATATGATCATTTTAAATACGTGGACTGTTTTTGTAACATCAGCTGTAATGCATTATATATGCTGCGTGAATATAATATTTTTTTTATTGATATATTTAATGCTCATTTAATTTTGTCCGTGTGCGAGTAATGAGATTGATCATGAGTTGATAATATATATATATATATATATATATATATATATATATATAATTTACTCGTATAAAAAATATAAAAATAAGTCATTTTATATTATAAATTAGAGTACAAAGAAGTGAAATATTAATAAAATTATTCATCTTCAGAGTTTTTTATAAATATATTTTTAAATTAAAATTAACTAAAAATTATGTATGAATTACATTTTTACTTTCTATAATAATTTTATTTTTCACTCACATAATTTTTAGTTTCATTCTAAATTTTGTAGATTAATATTATTACTTAAAAAATTTTTATTACATAATATAAGTTTTTATATATTTTATAAATACTTATTTTTACATTCATAAAATTTATTTTAAATTTTTAAATTTTTAAATTTAGAACTTACTTTTAAGAGTCTCATCTTTTAAATTTATAGTTATTAATATATATTAATTATTGATATTTATTATTTAATTTACAATAAAATCTTCTAAAAATTTTATTATGATTTAATTTCTGTTGTCAATTAAATGTTAAGTTAATTAATAAAAAGTTAACTCATTATTATCATATAACATATCGTGTTATTTAACTTTATAATATTTTATTATTTAAAATTATTTACAATTAAGTCTATAAATATATTTTACATATTTACATTAAAGCTTTTTCTCATTTTCTTTCTTGTTACTCCTCTCCCAACCCCAATGTTTGAAACTCGTTCCCTTGCAACATGTGATGATCTTTGAGGTTAGCCAGTATCTAGAGAATTATCTCTGGCCTCGTATGGATGCTGTCACTGCCACCTTCAAGCATGTTATGTTCATTATCCTCATGGTCAATGAGAAGGTCTTATTTCTCTTCTCTATTCTCTTCTTATGTTCATTTATTCATTCCGCTATAAATTTCACTCATGTCATGATGTGTGCCTTGCAATTTCGAGAGAACGTTGCTGCTTAGACTTGCTTCTATGAACAGAAATTTGCTTTCAAAGGCTTTCTTGAGTGGGTATTTACCTTTCCCCTCTTCTCATTTCTATATCCTTATTGCTATTGGTTTGCAAGAGAGAGATTTTACTTAGCATCTCTCAGGATGACATGATTTCATTTTCATTCATTACCCATTTATGTTTATTTTTTTTCATCTATTTACCATTTTATTGTTAAATTAGACTTTCAGGTGTTCATTTCTCCTTCTTTTCATTTATCTGATGAACTGGAGTTGGGGAGCGGGGGAAGGGAAGGAGCTAAGATGATAGAGCATAGAGGAGATGGGTGTGAAGTTAGAGACTAAACTGAAAATATATAAAATATATTTATATACTTAATTATAAATAAATATTCATTTTGAATAATAAAATATTATAAAATTAAATAACGTAATATGTGAAAACGGTTAATTGTTTCTATATCAATTAGCTTAATATTTAATAAAAAAAATTGATAAAAAAAATAAATCATAATTTCTTAACATTTTAGAAATTAAATTTTAACAAAAAAATATTATAAAAATTAATCATAAAATGTATTATACAAGAATCAATTACATATTTAAGTCTAAAAATATATTTTTAAATACATGATTTTGATTTAATAAAAAAAAATATTATTAACAATAATATATAGATTATTCTATTATTTACTATACTATTTTACACTTCTTTGATGTGTATTTTTTAAAATTTTTATAATAGAATAAATAACTAGTTTCTTATTTAAAAAAAATAAAATCTAAAGATACATTTTCTAATTATGAATATTTTTTTTATATTTTTAACTTATTTCTAAAATAATATATGTAACTAATTTCATACTTTTTTTTAAAACAAATCAAAATATATTTTTAAATTTACATAATAATTTGTAATATTTATGTATAAATTACTTTATCATTTATATATTATAAAGATATTAATTTTATTATATTATTTTATACTTTGTACATGTGAATTTTTTTATGTTTTATTTTCAATAAAGTATATCTTCTTATGTTTCTTTTTTTTTTTTTAAATAGAAAAATGTTCTTTAAAATTTATATAATAATTAATAATTAATAATTATGATCTATAATTTATTCTGTCATTTATAAATTATAAAATCATAAAAATATTTTTTTTAACAATAATATCTTGCATAATGTACTTGGTACTTTTCTCTCCATTTTCAAAATAACCAAAATGAAATTTTTTTTTCAAATTATTTTCAACAACCCTTAAAAGGATTTTTCTTTTAATTTTCAAATCTCTTGTGCTGACATTTTTACTGATTAATATGTAAAACATTGTCCAGCTAGAATTGTCACCTTTAAACGTTGTCCACAAAAGGGTCTAAAATCGTCTAGATGCTTGTATGTATAACTTGTTCCAAGGACTAGAAATCAATTTATGGGAATATTCTAATCACTAACATCAATTTTGAAGATTTTTTTAATGTCTCACCTAAACATGTTTTGTACATGATATAAATATCTAGATATTATAAAACTATCTAAGTGAACTAAGTTCTAGAAAGCACTTGTTCTATATAAATATTCAGATAATTAGACAAGTTCTCAAGCTCAATCTTCAGTGTATAGTAGTCCCTACAACTGCCCCTCTTACTTAAAAAAATGAATTATTATTTTATTCAAAAATTATTTTAATGTATTATCTGTATAAAATTTTTATACTAATAATTAATTAAAATACATAATAAGTATATATTTTACAATATTATATAAATCAATAATTTTTATTAAACTAATACTTCCTTTTGTCTGCACATGAATGCTATAATTTGCAAGAATAACTTTTTTTATGCCTTTAACTGACGTTATAAATTTGATTTTAATTAAAACTAAAAATGTCAATAGCACTATTACTCTATCAACTTTTCTTAACACTATTACGTAACATTTACATATACTAATTCTTACTGATATATAAAAGCAATAAGTTTATGATGAACTCTATCACCATTCCTCAACACATTATGCACCATTTAAAAGAACTAAGTCGGGCCGTTATAATTTATAACGGCCGATAACGGCTTATAATTACGTTTTTGCCAATGTTATAACGACTGATAATTAGGTTTATAACTGCCTATAACAGTCTATAATGACGTTTCTGCCACTGTTATAACGGTCTATAATTACGTTTCTACTTATCATTGGCTTATAACTACTTCGTCGGCTAGGGCTAAGTCATCTAGGGCAACTCAACATCGGCTAGGGCTAAGTCATCTAGGGCAACTCGAAATCGTCTAGGGCAAATTTTAAGTCTAAATTCCAGATCGACATATATTATTACACAAGTAATATATTCATGATATATGTTACATGTAAGAATATTAATATATATAAAAAAAAAACCAGTTTAAAGCACATATAGTATTGTTAATAATAATACAGAAAAACTTTGTCCTATCATATTTTTTAATTAATAATAAATTAATATTACTATTAATAATTTATATTAATAAAAGAAAGACATGCCCTATTATCGTACCTTTGTCGTTCGCTAAAAGTAATAAGATAACTTCGTCCTGTAGATAACTTTTAAGTAACCTTAATATATCATATTATAATATAGGTGATATATTATATATATTATTATTATTATTATTATTAATAATATATATAATATAAAACACAGGACATAATTATAATATATAATATATATATATATATATATATATAATATAATATAATATAATATAATATAAAAGCACAGGTTCATAATTTCATTTCTATTTCTTAACATATTATATGACATTTACATTTAATATTATTAATAACATAAGAACTACATCGTGCTAATAATAAGATCACGATTTCGTCCTCTAGATAACTTTCCAAATTAAAGTCAAGATAACACATTATCATACAGGTGATATATACTGCTTCTAATAGTTTTATACACGCCCTTTATAAATGCACACTATATTTATCTATGAAATTTATCCCCCAGGTCTAAGATCTCTATCATGATTAAGTATACTTGGCTGCTGCTATCTCCCGATACAGTTTCATTGACCGCAAATTACATGCACCAATGAGTTTGCAAGGAGTCCCAGGCACCAACATCAGGGAAATTTGCAGCTGCATAAATTTGATCATCTGAAATAATAGGAAAATCGATGGACATAGCAGCTTCAGTCCAAATGGATTCATCAAACAAAGGCATACCCTCATTCATGGTCCCCCAAAAGGAACGAAGTTTATCTTCTTCGTTGTGACCTATGGGCTTGGAATGATTTTCAATTGGATTAGTGTTGGTTTCAAGAGGAGGAGTCACAATAGGGTTGTTGGTATAGAATGGTCCATCACCAACAATTTCAGAAGTCACAGAGACTAAAGGGTTCATGCTTTTATTCAGATCAGAAGTGACACTTGGGGTATCAAAGTTGTTGGGGTGAATCTGAGGCTGTTGCATTTGGGGAATTTGGGTGTTAGGGGAAGGATTTGGCGATTGAGAATTCACAGGAGGAGGAGAAAGCTCTGGCAGATTGAGCTTTGCATCTGAACCATAAAGCTTACGTGCAGCAGTATCGTAAGCCAAAGCGGCTTCGTGAGAGGTCTCAAATGTGCCAAGCCAAAGGCGAGCACCACGGTTGGGTTCACGGATCTCAGCAACCCATTTGCCCCAAGTTCTCTGCCTCACGCCTTTGTAGGTGCAACTTGCATTCTCAGGGCCTCCTTTGCCCCTCATACACCCCTTTCTAGAGCTGGCTTGTGCTGGCTTCTTCATTTGTTTTCTCTCCTCAATTCCCATGCCGGATTTCAGCATTGTGCTGTAGCACACTTAGCAGAGAATTATGGAAACTATAGACAAATTGTAATAACTAAGGATGGGGAGAGAGAAAGGGGCAGAAAAATTGAGATAAGCTGATCTTAGGCTTATTGTTGGGAGTGGAAACAAGGTGATGGGGGGTATTTATATTGGGAAAACAAAGGTAAGAGAGTAAATAGTAAACACAAGTCTTTGAAACGTGGCCTTCAGTGGGACTGAGTAGCAACTTGGCATGATGAACCAGGCTAGTCGTGTCAAACATGAACCTCACTGTTGGTTTCTCTTGTACACACTTGGCTTGTGCCTTTGGTTGTATACTAACTCAGGTGGCGAACAATCAAGAGCAAAATTCTCACTTGATTTCCCCTTTTTTAGCTTTGTTTTTCTTTTGTGAAATAAATGAGGCTTTGAATGAATTGAATGTAGAATAAAAAAATATAATAAAGATAAGGAAGAGAGGATAAATGAAATTTAAAGCTGTGGGAGAGAGAAAGCGGTTTCATTGAATAATGGGTGTTTATCTATATTTTTTTTTTCTGTGGAATTAATTTGAATTTGGATATTAGTCATTTACTATTGGGAGGGTGCGGTGACATTTGGAGGAAACGGTTGAAGATAACTATGACTGGGGCTATTAAAATTAATCACATAATATGAAAACAACAACTAAGCCTTCCAATGTGGCAAGAAAAAATCCCAGTTCCAAGTGCAGGAACTGGAAACAGTCATCAGTGTACAGTAAAATAGCCAAAACCAGATCTGATGAACTGAGACACCACAAGTGTCACTTGTGACACGTGTGAGCTTACCAAAATTGATAGTCATTTTACATTATATTTACTATTTCTTGTTGAGCATTTTGTACCACATCTCCTAGAGAGTACCTATTTCTTTTGTTTGTTTGTGTTAAAATAAAATAGAAGTGGTTCCTCAAAGCACCGGTAAGGAATATATACCTGGGAAGTCTAAATATAAAAGAACTGTGCTGAACTGACCATCCTTCAAATGCACTTATCAACAGGTATAAATAAAAATATGAAAATACAAAAAAGAACTCAACTAGCTGGTTGTCATCACAATAGAGAACCATGATATGGATACTTATAGCCCCTTACCTAAGGCTTTAATAACAAAGGTGACAAACAGCGGTGGATGGAGATACTGGATTGGAAGTAACCGAGATATATTATTTAATTAAAATTAAAATATAAATTTAGTCATTGACACTCTAATTTGTTTCTAATTTTAATACTTAATCTTTATGCGAGTTTGATTATATTTTAATGATATTAAAGACTAAAAAAATTATATAAAAGGAGCAAAGTATAATAAAAAGTTCATACAAGGATAAAAACATAATTTTTATTAGTATGTGAACTAATTTATAAATCAGTCAACCATTAAAATTAACGTGCATTTTAATCTTTAATTAATTAATTAATACTTGAAGACCCGCTGGCTCTTTTGATTTATATGGGAAGAGTGCATAAAGCAACTGGTGTACCTAGGTACCTTCCTTTCCGAAGGACAAAACTAGAGGGTATCATCAAGAAACATTTACCTTACAACACGTTGCTCTTTTGTCCAATTTGAGGTTTCCAAAACCATGAACCCAGGGAGTTATGTTTATCGCCTAACATCATTTTTTTTTCTTTCTAATATTGGGATAAGTAGTACATGGTATACTTAGATATCTGTCCAAATGTTCAGTTGCACTAAATTCCAAGCATTCTACCCCAAGTAATGCTAGTGAGCACTATTTTGCTTCTAGCTGGCAAAACGACTTTTTGCCAGTTATATGGAAACGTTTAACACCTTGCTAACATAGGCCCTGGCCCTGGGTAATACAATTCGGTGATGTTCACTTTGGCAATTCACATGAGTAGATACCTCATCTAGATTTATGAACAGGCGTAGGTATGTCATGGTAGTCTCAACATGAACTGGGATCCTCTCCAGTAATTGTATATTTTTTTACATTTTTCTTAAGCAAAAGAACTCAGTTCACGCATAAAAATAATAATAATAATGAGAGGATCCCGGTTCGTTCCAAAAGTCAAGTAACTTATATCTAACTGTTCTTAAGTAAGACGGCGTTAACAGAGGACTGGGTTGTAGACAATCCACTACTCCGTAGAAGGCGATGTTTTGTTTGTCAATATTAACATCGGAAATGAGAGTAGTAAATGAACACTACCATCATGCACTTTGTTCTCTTACTATTACCATGCCAACATGGAGCTAACAGACATCATGATTTTTTTATACATGGCAATGATATTGCATAAATCCTTTACATTTTCACTACAAATGATAGAACATATCTTATCAAATTGCCAACCTTGATGTCACAACAATGAGGTCGAGGAACTTGAACACACTCGTCTCACGCAAGTATTTTCTCTGAAGCCAACTGAATTTTCTTAGCTTTCTTTCTCTGGTAAAGACAAATTAATACCAGAACCAATTTACGTGCAGTCTTCGCCAGAAAGCCTCGTCGAGCTGCAATGTTGTTTAACAAAGCATATAGCAGCTGAATCTCAAGGTGGCACACTGAAAGCCAATGCTTCACTGGAATCAGAGCACTTCCTTAAAGCCGACCTTATCTCCTTTAACATCTCGTTAATCCTGATACCCTTTCTGCAAGAAGCAAAATGAGTTTTTTAACCTAAGCCAATGAAGGGTACTACTAAAAATATGATATAATAAAATGTCTGCGCAATTGCTACACATTTGTGAAAAAGCACTTACAGAACACTAACTCCAACAACAGAAAGAGGTCGTGGATAGTCCTCAAGATTTTTTTCTTTCCTGTCACTTTCATTGGACAATTGAGCTGGAACTTCAGAGATTGGTTTTGGTTCAGAAGCAGCCCCATCGTTGCCGATTCTCATAATTTCTTGAGTCAATGATGAAAGTCTGTCCTTCGCCTAAAATTATAATTAGGTGAACATGTTTGTTATGTGACATTATTTTGCATATTTCTTGAGTATACATGACCCTAGCCAGAACACATGATGATGGGAGCCTCATGTACTGGCCCTCTCTTTACAAGATAATAGGAAATTAAAAGATAATACTCACAGGCTATGATACCACATACCTCTGGTAAGTCAATTTTATTCAGAACTACAATGTATGGCCGTTCAAGGTACTCCGGATTATACATTCGCAATTCCTGCAAAACAAATACCATGGAGGGAGCATGAGCAAGATTAAAAGCTAATAGATAAGGGAGGGATACACATTACAATTAGAAAAGCGATCTGACCATATCACTTTCTGCACATTAAATGAGCTAGGTTTATTTGCATAGGATGACTCAAAATACCAAAAAGACAAGAAAAGAGAAAGACTAAACAACAGAGTTGTGATCATTAACAACAAAACATACTTAACAAGACTAACATACAGATGATTTTTAAGAAGAAATTAATCAGATCTGATAAAATCAATTGTCCAAGTAAACTCTTCCAATTCTTAGAAATTGAGTCTTCAAGGGCATAAAATAAAGTTGTCAAACCAACAACAGGCAGAATTTGAACGGATTAAAAAAATGTATCCAATCATAAAAGAAAAAATACACACTTCTCGAACAGTTCTGTAATCATTTATAGGGTTCTCAGTCGCTGCATCAACAACATGGACCAATAGCCTTGTCCTCCTGAGGTGCCTCAAAAAATTGCGGCCAAGACCCTGAAAGTGAAAGACAAAAGCCTTCATATTTAGCATCTCAACGGTTTATATGGGGACATTAGACAAAGAACAAAATATTTGATACCTTTCCTAAGTGAGCACCTTCTATAAGACCAGGCAAATCTGCCAATGTAGCTTCAGATGAGTACATTCCTGCACCCAAGCTGGGATCACCGCCAAGGCGTCCAAGATTTGGCATTAATGTTGTAAAAGGATAATCCGCAATATCAGGTTTTGCAAGTGTAATGGCAGCAAGAAGTGTTGATTTCCCAGCATTTGGAAGTCCCTACCATAAGATTAACTTGATCTTGAGCAAATGAATGAAAACATCTGAAAGACAAAAAAGTAAGAGACAACCAATATACGTTTGACCTCCGTTAACCAAATAAATAAATGATTCATAAACCATGAGGAAAAAAAAAAAAAGAATATTTACTACACCTCTCCCCATCATCTTTCATGGTCTTGAATAACTCTAAGCCATGGTAAAACCCACTATTTTAGTTTCCGAGTAATCTCAAAATTATCTTCCTTGATATAGAGAAAAGAAATAATTCATTCATCAACATTGACATTCAATACATAATTATTATGACGATAAAAGTGAGACAACCAATTACTAATTAAGTAAGGCAATTTGTATAGAAGCAAAACTTACAATTAGACCAACATCAGCAACAACTCGTAGGATCAACTCCAACTTAACTTCCTCCCCAGGTTGACCGTGAACTAAAACCTGAAAAAATTTGAAGCAATATTGTTTTATCTTATCATGAGATAGCAAAATAACTTGCTAATGCAGAATTTTTAAATAGTACTGTTTCTAGATTCAAGATGGTTATCATTTCCTGAAAAAGCCCAATGTTAGAATTAATGGTTGTTTGGTTTAAGAAAATGTTTTGTTTTTATTTTCTTCTTTTACTTTTAATTACAAAAATTTCACTTTTTTGTATTTTGTTTTCTGCTTTCAAATATTTGTACAGGAAACCGTAAAAATATCTTTTTATTGTTTTTTCACAATTTCGTATACAAACTAATGAAAATCAGAAATAAAATGAAAACAAGATAATATTTTTATTGTTAAAAGTGATAACAAAAAACATTTCTCAAAACAAACAGCCCATTAAAATAACTTTTCTGAACCCATGACACAAAATAGTGACATATGAGCATGCATTTTGCACAAAACAAGTGATCATTCATTATGTATTGCAAAATTCAAATAAACTTTGATTAAACTGCAAAAGCAAAAGGAGAACCTTACTGATTTAAAACTTGTGTAAGGTATAATTTGCCCAGAGAGATTGTAACTACAAGATGTCACTAATGATATATCTTTCCAAAGAATATGAGAAATATTTCAGTGCTCATATAAATACTCAATAAACTTTACCTTGTCTGAGTCATCTCTCATCACATTAGTTGTCAAAGCCATCATCTTTTTCCTTTTATGCTGTGGCATTTCTAACAAGCTAATCTGGGCAGCCAAAGAAGAAATAACAGATTCAGGTGTAAAGTACAAACAAAACCAACTAGAAATACAGTATTTCAACCCATGATCTTTAGTTACAAGGCAAGAATCTTACCATTGTGTCAAAGTTCACACTTGGTACCACAATAAATAAAAAATCCTTAGTTTTGAACTCAAAAACTATAAAATATTTATATATTCGTATGAATTACAATGTTTTAATTTTTTTCTTTTAATCACCAATCTGAAACGGTACAACTCATCTCAAACAATTAAACAACCCACCAATGCCTTTAATGGATTAATCGACTCTGATTCATTACTCAATTACAAAAACAATAGATTTTCAAAGAATTTTAAGCACGTATATTACCCCTCCTTGGCCTCCCCTCGCAACAAGAACTTCATCACCAGGTTGCGCTAGATCAGCCAACATCTTCCCTCGTTTGCTTTTAACAACTGTACCTGTCACATTTATAAATTCAACGACTTAAATCAGATTTAATTCTTCAGAGATTGTTTACACCATCTCTTTTCAAAAACTAAAAAAGTGAAAATAAGGTAAAATCTTTGCAAATATTAACCAAAACATATTAACTGACAGTGAAAACAAAAAACACATGAAATTTCAAGCATGTATGTGAAATGAATGACAAAAACTGAACAGCAGTTGGAACTGATCATAGCAAATTTTTAGCTCTTTACATAGAAGCAGAAAAGAAGTCATCAACAAAACAGATACACAGTGCATTTGGATAACTTGGTTCAATGTTTTTTTTTCACAATGACTTTTATCATAAATTTGAATATGAAATCTATTAAAATAAGCTAAATACAGCATATTTTGATAAACTATATTAAGGGTCTATTTGAAAGAATTTATAGATAGCTTATAGCTTCTAGAGCCTAAACTTATCAACAACTTTTAACTCTCATATACAGCTTTTTACGCAACTTATCAAAATGAGATATTTTTAACTTATTCTAAGCCATCATTTAAAAGAATTATTAAATAACTACTAAAAAATAATCTATGTATTTAAACACATCCTAAAAACCTTATTAAAATAAAATAAAGAGAGCTATTCTCATGAAGTATAAAGCAGAGCATACAAACCTACAGGAACAGGAATACGCAGAGTGGGGGCAGCAAGTCCATTGCGTAGCTGCGAAGTCAAAACGCCCATTGCATCGACATTTCGACCGCGTTTTGCATGATAGCGGCTTTTGTTATGAAATTCAAGCAAAGTGTCTTTGGCTTCGTCTGCATAGATGACAACATCACCTCCATGACCACCCATAGGGAGTATAAGGGACCCATCGAAATCCCTCTTCAAAGACCCTCTCTTCTTCAACTTCTTCGATTTTCCCTTATCTTGTTCCTGTTCCTCTTTCACTCTCTGGTTCATAACTGCTCCGTGACCTCCGTCTCCAGCACGAACGGTGATTATTACATGATCGAAATATTTGTGAGGTTCCTTTGTCAACGACGTTGACGGTGGAGGAGACGCGTTGGCGCTGATAATTCCGCACCGTACCGTTTTCCATCTATGAATTTCGCAGTTGCATTGGGGTTTGAAGTGGATGTTTCTATACAGAACGAACGCCGTTAGTTAACGAAAAAAGAGAGAGGAAGAAACTCGAAGAAGGTGAAAGTAGAATGAGTGAATACCTTGGTGGGAGCAAGAGAGTGGAGAAGAAGCGAGTTTCGCGTAATTGAATGTTGTAAGATGGTGGCGGCGAAATCAGAGACACCATTATCCCAATTTCGATTGAAAGGGAGAAGGGGAACAGGGTGTGAGAACTTGGTTCGATGTGGCTCTCAAGAAGAAACATGGGCTCATGCCCAAGCCCAACAATGTTTTAGACCGTAACAAGTTCGTAACGGCATCTGTATATAAGCCCAATATCTTCTTATCCTTTTTGTTTCGTAAGCCCGTAATTTATTGGAATCTGACTGCATATATTCGAGAAATCTTCGACCAAAATTTTCTAAGAAATCTCATAATATATTTGGATCAAGTCCAATATGAAAAGTGTGAAGAAAACATATCATAAAAATAGGTATTGCTTTTTGCACCGTTTTTTCCCCCTTTGTACACACCATTTTAAATCTTTTTAGTTTATTTTTAAAAAAATGCCCTGCGTCAAATAAAACAAAAGAAAAAGAAAGATCTATTTTCATCCATTTTTGGAACCGTACTTGTGGAAATGAAGAAATACCCCATGCTCAAAATAAGATTATTACTTGGAATTGAATTAATAGAGGTGAAGATGAAAGTGACGTTGTGGGTGAAGTTTGATGAGAAACAAACTGTCTGAAAGAAATTGAGCTGAGAGAGAAGATGAAGTCGAGAAAAGGGTAAAATTCATCGCCGTTTGCATTTGTGCATTTGAGGGCATCATATCACCAATACTCAATTTTGGGATGACGAATGAGAGGAGTGAGGAAGACAAATGTCGGTGCGGAAATCTCGGTAAGAGGCAAGGGGATGGTGGAGTTGAACTGAAAATGGGTATTCTTAGAACAAAAATTTGCAGACAACGTCAAGGGATGAAAAATAAAATGGAGTAAAAAGTACGATAATTGTTGTGGTACAAAGAATATTTTTTATATTCTTCTTAGATTAACAATTTTGATTTTTCTAAAATTTTAAAAATTAAAAAATATTAATATTTTTTAAACTAAACCACTAACTCCATTTTCTATCAAATATAAAACAACTAACAATAATGATTGTTATTCGCATAAGACTATCAAATCCTTTCAACTATAAATAGTACATAGATTTTATCAAAAAGTAATCTTCGTAAAAAATAGGGTTTTATCAACTGGTTCAATCTAACACAAATTATAAAAATTAACCAAATAATAAAAACTGAAATCTGAACAAACTAAATAATGCAAAAACCAAAAAACTTAATTTATTTTTTTAAAACCGATCCAAATCGCACTATAACTTTATAATTAAATCGATTTTGTTTAAAAACTAATGAAATTCAATCCGAACACCCCTAATAAAAATAACAGTAATCTTAAATATAGCCAATCTCATCAAAGTTCGAAAGTCCTATGTGACTAACACCATGGTAGGGCAAAATTGTAATTCCACGAATTGTGTAATATTATTAGGGAAAGTATTATCGTTAGGGATACCAATACTTTGATCCGTCATTCAAAATTTATAAGTCACATCACACATATATGAGAAACATGAACTAACAAATTATTTCACAAATCATCAAATGTAATGACATAAAACAACAACGTCAATAAAGTGTCAAAATCTTTCAAGAGAATGAGCTTAGGTTATAGAATTAAAAAAAAAACAAAAACTTACAAAAAAGTGTTACCAGCACGCCGTATCGCAATTTTCAGTAAATTTTTTCTGTTTATCAATTTGTTGACCTAAGGCACTCGTTATAAACTTTCATGTTAGAAAAAGAGTGGGCAAAACCTCACAATGGATTGAATACAATCTAAAATATAGAAAATTATGAGAGGGTGACATCACAAGGCCACAAGTTAGATCAACTTCTCCAGACAAGCTACAATCTCAATCCAGAACCAGATGCAATTTTCTCCATTTTCATGTAACTCTGATACCTCACAAAATTGCAGTTATGACCAATAAGATCTAGAAAGCTTGCTCCAAAATTTTTTTCACATCAATAGTCAGAGAACTTTACATCAATGATCCAACGATATACCAATCCCTCGAGTGATAACAAAGGCACAAGGGAAACGTGCTTCATTCCCACAATTTCCCAGTGGATATTTAACTACTCGTTCATCGACTTTTAAGAAAATCCTTCAAGGAAAATGGCCCATCCTGCAATAAATAAATGAAGGAATCAGTTTGAACACTTACTAATTATGGATAATAAAGGGGTTACATCTCTTGTTGCACCTGTAGGAGTGCTTGTGCGCTCTCACTCAAGAAAAGATGAGGCGAAAAAATGGTTTATCAATTATAAAGTTGTGTCAAAGCTTAAATTGCGAAAGCTATAACCGAGAAAAATAGCCAACAGATGATGCCATCAAAAACTAAAACTGAAACAGAAAAATTATCAATTGCCCATTACCTGGCCAAGGCCCTGGCTTAAGCATTGTCTAACTACTGTGACCTGCTGTATAAGTTTCTCCATGGCGGTGTCGCTGGGAAGGTTAAAGTATGCTGGTAATCACCAACATTAACAGGAAAAAAAGATGACTAAAGATCATATTTAACTGGCATAGAACAAAGTATTGAGACTTGCAGTAAAATATACATTAAGTAAAAAGGAGTATAGTCAAGTTAACCGACCAAGAATAGTTCGATTCAAACAATCTGCAACCTGTTGCCGATATTCTAAGCTAAGCAGATGAAACATTGGTGATTTCACTGGATCATTATATGCAAGAAGGGCCATAAAATCCTGCAAGAAGGGCATCTTCATGTTTACTTCAACCTTAAAGACATGCACATGTGTCAATAAATTGTTCTGCAAAAGACAAACATACTTCAAGTTTTTCCCTGTACTTTTGCTCCTTTCCAAAAGGACTTAACTTGGTCTGAGCAAACTCCAAAGCTTTTGTGCTGTCAATAACATGAGATTCTATTAAAGCAAGAAGTTTGCAATATGCTCTCTTGGAGGCAAAATTAATCCATCTCACCATTTCCTAGAGCAGACAAGCTCTACAAAACGAAGGCTTAGAAGATCAAACAGCAAATCCTTGTTGTTCTCTAGAATATCCTGTGCCAGCTGTTCAGTGAGCTCAATAGCCTTATGTGCATTTCCCTCCAGCACAGAGTGAACAATTCCTAAAGACAGATGAAATTCACTGTCAAGTGTCAAGGAGGCCTGACTACCAATAATATGCACCAAGATATGTTAGTTCAAAGGTATGCAAAGTATATGCAACAAAGTAAGAAAGCATTGTCAAAAAGCAGCAGATGTTTCATGTAGCATTAAGAGTGAAAATGAATTTGGCATCCTCCCCATTGAGGTCCAGTAATCCAATGTTCATGTTTTATATGATACAAATCTTTCAACAGTGATTATTACAAAACACAAGTACTCAATCAAATGAAATATTATCACAAGCAACAAAAGTCTTCAATCAACCTTAACACTGAAAGACAATAATGAACCTACTTCTTCTTTTTTCCATATTCTCCAAATAATCTGCAGGCTGCTGCATCCCAGTGCAAGCAATGAAGGACTCTGCTGACTCTTTGAAGCAATTATGTATGAGATATGACAAAATGATGTCACGAACATCATTTTCATTTATAGCCTGCAAATATAGACATGTAGCAAAAGCATGTATAGAAATAGTGACAAAAGTTATGACAAGAAATAATACAAGTATATAACCAGGAAATCATAAATGTTCACAGAAACCCAATATAGCACCTAATAGCAACCACAAATGCAACAGTTCTGCTAGGAGCCCAATTCAAGCTTTCTTTTTTTTCTCTCATAAGAAGTCAGAAAAATAAGTTAAAACTTAAAAAACCACAGCTTCAAAGGAATAGCTTAAATTGAAATCATTTTCCATTGCAGAATTAAGAAAAATGAGTCCACAGGAACAACAAAGTCCAACTAAAGTTTTCAAAATTCACAAAACAAAAACAGTTTATTTCTTGACAATGACATTAATATGATATTTAAGCACGAAGCAGCCAACCATCAACAATATCATAGAAATTAGCAACACCCAAAACATATTAAACATATAAAATAATACATATCCTTCTAAGTACAAAACAGTTTACACACAGCACAAGATGCAGACAGGCAGTGCATAGCAAATTATCAATTCATGATTTCACTTAATTTCAGACATGTAAAGACAAATGCATCACAACTAATTATCAAAGAAATGTAACTAAAACATCCCTAGCTAAAACCTCCCATTGTTGCTTGTTCCATATTAAGGGGTGAAAAATCACTTTGGACTTGCTTCGATGCAAAAGTAGTAACCAAAATTATGAAGTATATAAGATTCACAATCTACTATCAACCTCGCCACGCCACTTTGGTTGTAGCAAGCAAGTATGAAGTAATTTTCATTGCACACCCTAAAACCACATCATTGTGAACCCGTTCATGTGTTGTACTAATTGAATTTTAGGGCTCATAACTCACGCTAAAACGAAAACCTGCGACTGCGAAACTTAAAATAGTGGAAGAACTAGTAAGAGAAAAGTTTGAAATTGAAGAAAATGCAGTGTTGTCATGAATTGTGAGAGTAATGTTTCTTTCCTACATGAGTATGAAATGAAAAGGTTATCGGAAGAGAAACAAGAATGGAAGGCGCAATAGGTAAAGGGGAAAAATAAGAAGAAGTACAATGTTTTCGTATCGACGAGGATCAACATCCATGGTTGCTCTTGGGAGGGTTACTCCGAAAACGGGACAAAGTAGAGGCTCAAGGGTGAGAGAAGCACAAAGACAATAAAATGCTACTATTTTATTCAAGTCCTTTGAAAGAGTATTTTATATATATATTTTTAAAATCTACAGTTAGGATGATTTCTAATATTTAAGAAAAAAAATATATTTTTACATTCACTTCTTAACTAAGAGAGTGTCTTATACATAAAATTATTATCACTGTTAATTTACATTAAAATAATACAGTTAATAATTTATTTTAAAAAATATAAATATTATTTGATCTTTAAAATATTAAAAAATTACAAATATCAATATAAAGAACATATATTTTTTTTTCAAATTTATAAATGTAATAACAAATATTTTGAATATAATTATTTTACGTTTGAAGAATATAAAATATTTTTTTAATTTTGAAAACAGCATAAAAATTAATTTTTATTAATGGATTAGTTTAATAAATAATTTTATCATAAAAATAATTTCATAATAAAATTTTTAAATAATTAAAGTAAGGATAAAAATGTTAGAAAAAAAAAGTAAGGATATAAATATTTAAAAGTCTAATTTAATAAATAAAAAAATAACACGTAAAATTTTAAGACAAATGAGAGCTCTCGTGAGTGCATACGACGTCCACCGTTCAATAATTCATATCCACGACTCCACGTTTAAGTTGGTATATCACTAATCGTACGATGAATGCATAAGATCAGGTATCTTTCGTAAGATAAGAAAAAAGGTCAAATAAGATATTTACGTTTATTTCTCGAAATCTTTTACATTATGGCGGTTTAATTTTGGGTAATTCTTTAGTTTAAATATTTCTTTTAATAAAATTGACGTGTCTCAAATGAAATCAAGTAACGAGTAGATGTGAACTTTTAAATGAATCTAGATATAAATTGGATCTAAACAGAGCTAACAAATAGAATTAAAACTCATGAGCTAACTCTTATTTATATTTTATTAGTCTAGTTTATAACAAGGTTTTTTAAATAGTGAGGGTTAAAGGCTGACTCACGGATCACGTTAATGCCTTCTGAAAAAATGTTTTCATAAGAACTTACTTTTTTCTTTTGTAAAAAGAAATTTTCTTTCCCTTTTGAATAATTAGTTGTTGAATTTTTTTTATTTTTTTTCTTTCCATTTCAAATCAATGCTTTTTTAATAGAAAATGGGTTAAACATATATGATTCTAGTCGTTGTTGCTACGAGCATTCATAACTTTAATTACTGCTTATGCATTCCTTTTCATTTGCATCTAGGCCTCGGCAGAGCCAAACACTACAAGAATTAGCAAAAGTACAAAATAGTTCTAATTTTTCTACAATATGCATGTAATATTTGTCCATTCTATTTTTTTTGTTTTTAGGCTTTTTCAATATCATGTTTTCTCACTTGCTTGATTTATGCATTTGATTTTATTATTACAATTTACTTTGTCATGTTTTTATTTTTGGGATGGGGTTTGCCATTATTTTAAGATTTGCATCAATCTTTTTTTTTTCCTTGTGCAAAGAGAAGTTTTCTTTCCCTTTGATTTCATGACTGAAATAAAGGTTGGGAAGTGACTTAATTACTTTATGGCCAAAATGAATGTTCAAATATATAATTTTTACACATTGCCTATTATTTATCCACTAATATGTAAATTATGTAATTTAATTGAAGTAAAAATACAGCTTTTTTGGTATTGTGAAAAGAAACCCGTCAAACAACTAGTCCATGTTTGCCAACAAATTAGTGCTAGCTAGATTATCTGACACTTTTGTTTGATCTATATTTTTTCTATAATGTCATGCTTCTATTGTTTATGTGTCTTTAAGACAGGTTGAAGTTATTTTGTGAGGAAGGTTAAAACATGCCTTCTAATTTCTTCCTTTAGCTGTAAATTTTCCATAGCAAATCTAGTTACATCTTTACTCTGATCCACTTGGGTCTGCAGGACTTCAATTTCCTTTCAAATGCTCCTCTTTTTCATTCTGTAAGTGTTACAGCCATTTAATACATCACAAAAATATTAAAAAAATGTTATTATTGATGCATCAACAAAAGAAAAACAGTATAAATTCAAAGGTAAAGATACTAAAGAAATATAAAATCTTAGAATGGAGCTCTATAATGACATGAATCCAACATAAATTGATATTAGTTTCTTATAAATTGCTACTTAGGCTAAAAGCTTATGTATTCTCTTCCTTGTTAATCAATCATTAAAAATTGATATAACAAATCATATATATATGCTGCTTTTCAAAGATACCAGCTTTATGGGTGCTTGAATTTCATCTCTTAGTGTCTACAGTTCCATCTCTTTGTCCTTCCCTCTTCTAAAGGCTCCAACAAGAGCAATGTCATAATCTTTTTTCTGCAAAAATAAAAATAGGCTTATCAGTAAACAAGATTATAATGAAACATAGAAATCAAGTTATTTTTCACTTTTTTCTAAAGTATGGACAAGCTGAATATGGTAAAAAAAGACAATAAAATGATAGCTTCTTATTAAATGCATTTTTCTCTTTTTCTAAAGCATGATTGCTCCTGCTTTCTCTATTGGTGTTTAGTATATGTGGCAGATGTGAAAAGGGACTTAGATTGATCTTATTTTGATGTTTCTCTATCTCGATATACTTTCCTCTGTGGCTATATGAGTGGAGAATAATTTTTCTTTCCTTTGTACTTTTTCCTTTTTTTCTATTATATTTTCTTCTTTTATCAAATAAAGGGTTTAACATATGTTGGCTATATCTCAAGTTACATTCTTTACTTCTTCATTTTATTTTCTTATTATGAAAGATGTTATGTTTATTGCATTCTTTTTTGTCATATATTTGTTTAGTCTAATTTAGTAAAGGATATTTTTATTTTAAAAGGTAATATGAATGAACATTCACCCTTTAGAAAAGACCTAAAAGATTGTATTTGCTGAATATGACTTTTTACAAAAGTTAGTGAAGGAGTCTACTGCTCTTCCAGCAAACTCATAACTTATTTCACAACCAAGGTAGACACTACCAAGTATAAAAAGGATGTGTTTGCTCCCTAATGTTACCTTTATAATTGAAAATTGCCACACAAGCAGAAAAATTTATAGACATTTTATTTTAACCAAATATTGGAATGCTTATTTGTATAATGTAGTAGTGGTGTGTAACACCTTAATTAATTTCGAGATAATCATTTTTGGATAAATTATTTTTCACAATTTAGAGGAGAAAATAAAAATTTCATTTCAAATGGCTTCGAATATAATGTTCCAATAAAGTATTTCAAAATATGAGATGTGTTACAAATTTGAATCAAAATAAATGCTACAGGACCTATTTAATACATCACAAATTTCAAAATAATTTTCTAAGTCCTATAGCAGTATCATCCATCCCATTCACTGAGATTGGTGTTGATCAGTTTGGTCACCTGAAAAAATAAATGTAAGAGTGAGTCCTCTATGCTATCACACACACAAATATAGAGACTCACATCGCCTATTTCATAGCAATCTCTAATATAATAATATCATACTTTAACAACATTAATTTATTCTTTTCAATAACACACATGCACATTTATTCATGCATAATGCGCTCATTGCACCTTCAATCATTTCACAGACACACACTGCATGTTAGCCACGCTCACTGTGGCACTGTGATTACAGTTTTCCTAATGCTTTCAACCTCAGGACTTACTCAGTTTCACACCATGGATGGTCACCGGTTAACCCCTGCCTCATGGATACAACGTGTGCGGTCACGGCCCCTTAACAAAGGTATTGATCAGAGGCCGAATCAGGAGAAGAGTGTATGGCCTATGGTGCGCCCACATTTACTGTTGGTGTCACCACCACCCTCTTTTTTCCAAGGTATTTTTACCGCCTCTATCTCTCACACCCCAGTGTATCGCCATTCATAGTTTTCAATCATTCAAAACATGCTTCAATCACAATCAGCAAGTCATTCACACATCTTCTACCACATTTTCATCGCACACATTCCTTAATGTCAATCACACTATACTCCACACAATATTTTCATCATAATCCTATTGCAATCAAATCAAGATATCATCCACTCACTACATTATATCAAAACATATATTTTTCTACATCCTACCTCAACCACATTTCAATCCATAATGATTTAAATAAATTCTAAACACAAAGAGATATGATAGAGTCCTCCTTTACCTCTAAATGAAGACCCACTATGAAATCGATGGTAGAATTGCTCCCTATACGAATTTTCTTCCTAGATACATTAAAAACTCCATGAGAAACCAAGGAGAACAAAGATAGGTGAAAACAAAAACCTTAACTCATGAAACTTACCTCCAAACGCCCAAACACAATCACAATCTTCAATCTAGGGTGCAAACAACCTTGAAGGTAATTTAATTGATGAAATAGGATTAGGGATTGAAAGGATCGAAGAAGAGGTGATGGGAAAGTGGAAAATGCATTTCCCGAACCCTAAACCCCTCAAATATCCTAAGAGTCACGATTCAGTAAAAATATTAGACAAAACTACACTTGTTTTCTGCATAATCTCGTTACAGCGAGACTAACCCAAAAAACTACTCTCTCTGTTGCCTTCTCGCTACAGCGAAGAGCCTCTTGCTACAGCGAGAACACAACAGAGACATCCACATTTCCTGCAACCTTCTCACTACAGCGAGATACACACAAGTTTGCACATGACCTTCTTGCTACAACAAGAATCCTCTCTTTACAACGAGAATGTCCCTACAGCACAACATCATCCTATACTCTCAAGCATTTTCAACTCAACCACAAGTCAACAGTCACATTAATCATAACATACTTATATACACATACACATGGATTTATTCACACCATTAATCATAAATCAAAAAGCACATCCAATTAATAATAAAATACACATACTTATATTAATAATCCAAATATTATTATAAAATTCAGGGTGTTACATAGTGCAACAAAGAAATCATTTGCTTGACTTCAAATTTGTGGATTGAACAATAACATAAAATAAATTAAATGAACAACAAAATAAA